ATTGCAAAGAAATATGAGTTGTACACCCTGAGTAATAAAAGGGTTAACACATATAATTATGTATTATTTAGTGTGCAGGAAAACGCTTAGGCTAATGAGTTACAATATTCTTGCTCTGATACAAGAAGTTACTCTAAAATGATATTATCAGCACAATTTATAAAAGAAGACATGAGGATACAGTACAATACAATCATTGAACTGTACCTGTAAAAATGGCATAATCTGGCAGCATGGTTCAGACACACAGTGTGAAGGGTGTGGGGGAAACAATTCCAGAAGGTACACAGTGCCTAGGTTTGAGGAATACAGTTTTTTCAGACACACATAGAGCTGATATAGGAGAGACATTTCTGGAAGGCACAAAGTGTTTCTGTTGTAGGGCACAATAATGACAGACCCACATAACCCCGTGTTTAAAGACTCTCTTTTGTGCTGCCAAACTAGATTAAAATCTTGAGGAGTATGAAAATTTTTATTATTGGTATTTATATAGCGCCAACTAATTCCGCAGCGCTTTACAATATTATGAAAGGGGGAATTTACAATAAATGAGACAATTACATAATGACACAAGAATAATAGGTAGATGAGGGCTAGGGATGTGCATGGGCAAAAATTTTGTTCGGACTTCCAAAATTGCCGTAACTCCTAACCCTACCCCAACCCCAATCCCCGAACCTACCCAAACCCTAATCCAACCCCCAAACCCTAATCCCACCCCCAACCATACGCTAACCCCAACCTTCCTCTACCCCTAGTAGGGTTAGGGTAAGATCCCGGCCATCACTCTCTTAATTTTCCCTCCCTCTCCTGTTTTGCCACTTTTCAGAAATCCGAAGCACTTCAGCACTTCCGAAATTCAGACATTCGGAAGCATCCAAATATGCTGAAATTTGTCCGAATTTAAATTCGTACCGAAACGAATTGCACATGTCTAATGAGGGCCTTGCTCAAAATGAGCTTATAGTCTGTTCTCTTTTTTTATTATGATTTTTACCAAATCAGACAAAAACAAACATTCTTTGAGAGATTATATACATTAAATATATTATTTTACAGGGATCAACACATAAGATAGTAAACCTTTTCGCTCCACAGAAACTCAGGAAATGAAATTAATGTAGTTTACCCAAATTTCAAAAAGGTCATTAACGAATTGTATGAATATTATGTATTTAAAAACATGAGACTTGCTGAAATATAATGAAAGCAAAAATTAAACATAATGAAAACGAAAATCACAATGCAGGAATTCAAAATTGAAAGCAATAATGTGTACAGAATGACCATAAAAACCTCACCATTGGGGGGCGGAGCAAGCAGCCGAGCCGCATGGCCGCGTTCTAAACGAGCTCCTCTGCTAGGGAAATAGAATCCGAAGCCATCGGGCACTAAAATTCACAATGGGACATCCCAAACGAGCAGCCAGTGGGCACCAAACGACAGGGAAGACCCCCACAGGAAAAACGGGGTCCCTAACTAAATTTTTCCGGGACACAAGCGACCAGCAAACAGACCCGGTAGGCCTTACCACGACGCCGGCCTCGCCGCAAACACTCTCCCCACCATCAAGCCCCACGGGGTCAGAAGACACCATAAGATCCTCAGAAGGGGACATCAAAACTATGCTTCGGGCCCTACCCTCCAAAACGGACCTGGCACAGATGCTACAAAAACTAGAAGCCTCCTTCCAGGAGAGACTAGACGCCATTGGGGCGGACTTCCAGCTTACTAAACAGAAGGTCACCGCCTTGGAGGACGACAGGGATGTGATGCAGACACAGCTGAACACAATCACAGAATCAATGGAAGCACACACCGACCAATACTCGGCAATGCAGCGCTCCCTCGACGACCTCGACAACCGGGGAAGGCGCAATAACTTAAGGGTAAAAGGCATACCAGAGGAAGACCGGGAAAATCTCAATGCAGTTCTCCAGGAACTATTCAACTTGATCCTGGACAGGCCTACAGAAACGCCAATAGCCTTTGATAGAGCTCATAGAGCCCTGCGCCCGCGGGGATCTCAAGCAGACATGGCACGGGATGTAATCTGCTGTCTACACTATTACGACTGCAAAGCCAAAATATTAGAGGCCTTACGCAACTCGCAACAACCGCTACTATTCCACGGAACAGAAGTGGCAATATATCCTGACCTCTCATGGCTAACACTACAGGCACGCAGGTCTCTGAAACCGGTCACAGATCAGCTCCGCTCAAGGAACATCAGGTATAGATGGGGGTTCCCATTCTCCCTCACCGTAACTACAAGGGGCAACACCTACACCATCTCCACAATTAAGGACGTACCGGTGTTCATCCGGGACCTAGAACTTACAGCAGTCCGGATCCCAGATTGGTACGGCCCAACCCCTACTCCTAACATGCCAAGGCAACAGCAAAGACCTCCCTGGCAACAGCCTCCGAAGAGAAGACGACCGGAATATGCTGGTCACCCTCCGGGAGATCACTCACAACATCCTCCCCAAATGCACCACTAGACAGCAGGACATCCCGCACATCAACCCAGAGAAAAGATATGGTCACCACTGCACTTCCCCAAGCCTCCACGATGCCTCTAGATTGAACCATCCACAATACCAACACACCTCTTTAGACGCCGGTACACACCAAGCCGTCGCATTACGCTGGACTGATCCACGAGACCCTACCGACCACACTGGGAGATGATGTACGGCACTAACCGGGAGGACCCTGTGCACCCTGAGATATTCATTGACTTCCCTCCATCAAACAGACGAACTACCCCGAAAATCGGACAGACGACGCCTACTCCAACGACCACAAACAAGCCTACCCTCCACGTACTCAAACAGGACAACATAAGACACTAAATCGCACCCTGAGGAGAAGAAGGACTGCAACAGCCAGAGCCTGGGATACACAAGACTCAAGGCCGGGAACTATTTCACTATTTCACTTACATAGACAGTCCTAGGGTATCTGGCCTCACCCGAACCCACAAGGTGCCCCTGCCTATTTTACTGCCGGGTGCACGCCCCATACTCCAAACGGCTATCCGCTACGAGTTGCCCCATGGTTCCGAAAGGAGAGGATAAGTAACTATATACGAACTATCCATGACCTCAAATGTCTTAGTATGTCCTTGCTGTAGACAAGGTGACGGGTTCTCATACTGTACAGCTACCCCAGATACGCACAGCTAGATGACGAACAGACCCTGAGGACCGACATCAGACCAGACATACTGCCCCCCCCCCTACTGTTTACACACCCGCACTCCCTTCATTCCATACAGGATGGCTCCAGCATCCTAAGACAGGACTGCCCCCCCCACCCCACCCCCCCAGGCCTGCTCAACGACAAGGGTAACCAGGGGCCATGGAGGGACAGAAAGTGACGGCATCCAGACTATGTTACGCCACGAGTGTTGACCTTCCCTAACCTTGCAAATGCAGTAAATCATCTCCTAGCACCCTCTCTATACTGTAGAAACTAAAAAAAAAAAATAATAAAAAAAAAATTATTAACGTAAAAAGACACAGACGACGGCTACGACACACAACCCGGGGGAACGCAAAACAGACAGTACAGGGGACAGAACGTGGGAAATGGAAGTAACAATACTACTCGATGGGAACGGTGGACTTATTCCGACCCAGGGGGTTCAAGATTCTTGTGCCAATACACTGTTCTGAAATTCAATGTATAATGTCTTACATATGTATGTATTTTGTGTGACAAATAGATTATACGGGATCCACCTTCCTCATACCCGGAAACAGGAAACCACACTGCAACACCGACGCCATAGGACGATGCACAGCGCCAGACCACAACAGAAGGGTTCCCTCCACAACCTGAAGGGCTGCGGTCCAGGTAACCCAAACGCCCCATATAAACACCTCTGACATCTCACGCACCGGCGTCCCCCACAGTATATATATACTACCACCACCTCCCCCCCATGGCATTTAGCACGAGACCATATCTCCCTTACAACCCAGACCCACCATGCACCCCACCCGAGACGAGAATGTCTCATCTTTAAATATTGCCCCTCCAATCAAGCCAAGCGCTACCACTCATGGATTCTTACCCCAAGCAGACATTAGCTCTGAGGTAAACACACACTACCCAAGGAAGCCAAGACCAAAAATATTCACCTACTATCATCCAGGTGACAAACAGCTCCACCACTAGGTCCACCTGACCTAACCCAGGTGCACACCACCTACCCACAAGGCGAATATCCGCCCGGGGTAGTCCACCACGGGAAAACCCCCAAACAGTATCCCAACATATAACTTACTGTAGTACAAGTTGAAACTGCATATATCTACTGTATATAGTTCAAAGGTACAATCCCCGTACCTCTCCAAGTTTAAAAATAACCTCCCCCCGCGACGAGTTCGCACCAATAATGGCAGACACTAACGCCACACAACCAACGGACCCTGAGACGGCACACATACGTATCATTACCCTTAATGTTAGAGGTCTTAACACTCCCGAGAAAAGGAAAATGACACTCAACGAACTTCACCATCTGAAAGCAGATATAGCCTTCCTCCAGGAAACACATTTTAAAAAAAATATGGCCCCCACATTCAGAGATCGCAGATTCCCAACGGGATATTTCAGCGACTATGAAACAACTAAATCACGGGGAGTGGCAATACTTCTGTCGACCCATCTCCCATTCACCTACACCGAACACAAGACAGACGATACGGGGAGACTCCTTATGGTAAAGGGCCAAATTGGCCAAACTACAGTGACATTAGTCAACACATACCTCCCGAACAGACGTCAATGCCACACCCTCAAGAAACAACTAAAACAAATAGAATCATTTGCAGAGGGTATACTAATTATGGGGGGCGACTTTAATCTATCAACCGACGCTCAGATGGACACGACATCCCATACGACCCAATACCAAGTGTCGGCACGGAAACAAATGACGACGATACTAGACCGCGCACAACTCTATGATTGCTGGCGAACAACTCATCCGTCAGCAAAGGATTATTCCTTCTACTCAACTGTAACACACACTTATTCCAGACTGGACATGTTTTTTGTCCCACATAGATTTCTCCATCTCATCCAGTCCAGCAGATATGGCCAAATTACTTGGTCAGACCATGCACCCCTAACGTTAGATATGCACATACCCACACTACCCCAGAAATCTTTCCAATGGAAACTCAACGACCTCCTCCTGAACGATCCCGCAGTAACGGCCAATATCAATAATGCACTACGACAATACTTCCACCTCAATACATCTCCCATGATTAGCCCCCCAACTGTGTGGGAAGCACACAAATGCGTTATTAGAGGTGAACTGATATGTACAGCATCCCGACTTAAGAAACTCAGGGAAGCCAAAATCAAATCCCTCACAAACGACATAAGACTGCTCGAACAACAACATAAACAACACACTCACCTTAATATATATTTAGCCCTGACAGCTAAAAGGTCAGCTCTGTGCGATCTACTAAACTCCAAGGTCAAACGCAACCTCCTTCTTACTAAACATAAATACTTTGCCCAGGGGGGCAAATGCGGCCGCTTACTAGCACACTCCCTACGTCAACAGAGACAATCAACATTCATAGCTAAAATTAAAACATCTACCGGTTCCATGACCCATAAACTCCCAGAAATCCTTCAAGCCTTCCAAACATTTTATACTGACCTCTACAATCTTAGAAGCAAACCACCAGCCACTGCAGATATTGAGCAATATCTCTCTTCACGAATACATAAGACAATCCCGACTCACACACTCTCATCCCTGGATGCCCTCATTACACAAGACGAGGTACAAACCGCCATACGACACCTCCCATTGGGTAAAAGCCCAGGTCCAGATGGGTTTACGGCCAAATACTACAAAACATTCCAAGAACACCTGACAACACCGTTAGTAGAAGCCCTCAACTCCCTTACACAATACCAGACCCTTCCCCCCCAATCACTGGAAGCACACATAACCCTCATACCGAAACCAGGCAAAGACCCGACCAATTGTGGGAGTTATAGACCGATATCCCTTATAAACCTAGACCTAAAAATATTCACGAAAATTCTTGCCACCAGACTAAGACCCCTACTACAATCTCTAATACACGACGATCAAGCAGGCTTCGTTCCTAATAGAGAAGCAAAGCACAACACCACAAAAATCTTAAACCTACTATACATTGCACAACACCTACCGACAGACAGCCTCCTGATATCAATAGACGCCGAAAAGGCATTTGACAGGGTGGACTGGACCCTGTTAATAACCACCTTGGACAAAATAGGTTTTGGCCCTAACTGGCTAAGGTGGATGAATTCCATCTACTCCACTCCCACAGCCAGACTGCGGATAAATGGACAACTTTCGAACCCGGTACACATCAAAAACGGCACGAGACAAGGTTGCCCCCTCTCCCCTCTTCTCTTCATCCTTATACTGGAACCCTTTCTCAATGGGGTTAGAAATAACCCGGCTATACAAGGGATACAAGTGGCACACACAGAGTACAAAATATCGGCCTTTGCCGACGATCTCCTATTTACCATCCAATCTCCAGACACCTCTCTCCCTCCACTTCTTGAGGAAATAGCACTCTACCACACGCTATCCAATTTTAAAGTCAATTTCACCAAAAGCGAAATCCTCCCAATCAAAATATCCCCCCAATCCCGTGCCTCCCTCACAACACGTTTCCCGTTTACATGGGCAGAATCAGCAATAACCTATTTGGGCGTACGCCTCCCGGTAGATCTCAACTCCACCTATGTCCTAAATTATGAACCACTCATCCAATCTATCTCAAAAGACCTACAAGCGTGGAATAAACCACAATACTCCTGGCTATGCAGGATCAATATCCTAAAAATGAATACCCTCCCTAAGATCCTATACCTATTCCATACCCTACCCATAGCTATACCCAAGCTGTTCTTTATCAAACTAAGAACAATGTTTACAACTTTCATATGGACTCATAAACAGCCGAGGATCAAATACGAAACCCTCACCAGACATAAATCCCAGGGTGGACTGAGTCTACCACATCTTGAACATTACCACGAAGCAACAGTCCTATCACGTATATATGAATGGTCGACTCACCCCCCAGCACGTCAGTGGATAAAGCTGGAAAGCTCCATTTTTAACTCCCCCATACATACAATCCCGTGGCAACAAGCGACCTTATCAACACTCCTCCCTAGCCACACTAAACACCCGACGATCCGACCCACGCTTCTCACCTGGTCGCGCATCCGCAAGTCGACTAATCTGTCCCCCCACCCATCCCCCCTGTACCCCATTACCCATAACCCACTCTTCGCCCCGGGCATGACAGCCAAGCCATACCTCGCCTTACAGAACACACCAGATGGGACGTACCTCCAACTTAACACTCTACTGGAAGGCCACCGCATTCGCCCCCTCTCCAACCTGACAAGACTTGACACTCACACGCCAATGCAATATTTTCTCTATGCCCAGGTGACCCACTTCATCAGGGACAACCCTATCCTGTACAGTTATAAGGTGGGTGAGGAGGATATGACGCGCGCTCTCACACTTCGAAATACACTGTAAAACGAGCAATATTAAAACAAAACTACTATCGACATTCTACAAACTCCGTGGCCTGGAAGCCACTAAAACATTACCGCCGTTTACAGACGCATGGGCCAAAGACCTAAACACCCAAATCACAAATCCCCAATGGAACACTATTTTCCGGCAAACGCACGCCACCTCGATATGTACCGCGTTCCAGGAGGGTAACTACAAGAGAATTGCCAGATGGCACTACTCACCATCCAAAATACACAGCCTATTCCCAAACTCACACGACATTTGCTGGAAATGCACCCAAAGGGGGGCCTCACTAGCCCATACCTGGTGGACCTGCCCATCAATCCAGAAATACTGGAACAATATAGGGAAAATGCTTAAAACAATTACGGGAATCCAAGTGCCAATCACCCCACAGGCGCTACTATTCCTGATCCTCCCAAGCCCATTGCCCAAGTCGCGTCATATCCTCCTCACCCACCTTATAACTGCAGCCAACCTACTCATTCCTGTCAAATGGAAAAATCCCAACACCCCATCAATTAGAGAATGGATCGCCAAAGTAGAGACAATCAGAACCATGGAGGAAATCCACGCGTCTATCACCCACAAACTATCACTTTCCCAAGAGGTCTGGGACCCATGGGTCAGATTCATAAACGATACCCAAGCGACAAATAACAAATAAAGGACAAACAAAATAGGTATACAGTACACAAAGAAGAACACTTGTGTCAACTCCCCACACACCCTGACCTTAGGGAATGATTCATTCCAAAGACGAACACACAAACGGCTACTGGAAAGACCCCTCACAGCCCACCCACGACCAACGAAGGAACCTGACTATAAGACTGATAGCTCAGCTTCCACCAACATGCTATGGTACTGCCTGACAGCAGCTAAAGCATGAATGTATCTTATTAGTTGACATGTAATAAACACGGAACGACCACAAAACGGGAGAGAAGTTAGGTACTATACGTGAACTGTCGGTCTCAAAGGATATACTACAACAATACTTCAAAATGCTATGTATCAAATTGACTCCAATATATTTCACCAAAGAATGGCTATTTGTACTACGTTTCGAGCCTGATGTAGCTGATGTGGCAATGCAGGCACTGTTGTACCTTTGACATAACTGCCAATAAAAAAAAAAACCTCACCATTTGGGAATTTAACTCACAACCTTTGCAATACAAGTTCAAAAGCACTACCTTGTAAATTATTTTTAAATGAGATTTCAATGCTGGCGGTCACGAGGTAAAAAAAAAAAAAAAAAAAGTGGAATGCCTTAGCATGTCGGAGATGCTCTCTGACTTGAAAGATCTAAAAAAAAAAAAACAAACAACAACAAAAAAAAAAAACAATGTCAGCAATTCACTCTTATCACTGGCACTAAATTTTTCATTTTGACACCAATTATCTGGTGGGGCGCTGCCATAAGTGCCCCTTGAGCCTCCACTGGTACATGCATGCAGTCTTTGCATTATGGGATGACAGGCATTTGAGGATTCAATGCTGCGACAGGTTCTGCAATACTATTACTGCATGTTTCATGCTTGAGACACCCAGCAATAGACCAGTACATGCTGCAATTTGCATGAACCAGAAACACCCACTAACACCAATTGGGGAGATTTGAGAAAGACTGCCTCACTTGTCTTGTTGTGATCAGTGAAACCCCCAATTTGGGGAATTTTGACATATGGTGTACCCTGTTCATTGGCCATCATCAAGTATATTAGTGGCAGTGATGGACATGGTCACCTGCCATGAATGAGTTATTATTGATCTCTCGGTCTTCCATATGTGCTTATAAGACAATGTGAGCATCTCCTACTCTTATCAAATCCAGCCAAACAATATAATATCACATATAAAACACCATTACCGAGAGGCAGAAGAGCATTGTAGTTTTATGGTTATATGGTTTTCACTACTAAATGTAGTTTTCTTTTACCACTGATAATGTGAGCCTTTTTTTCTTCTAATAATTCACTTTTTAGCATATCTTCATTTTTGGTTTTTAATAGTATTGGGAATATACCAAGTGCAGCTAATTGTTGAGTGCCTTCACGTTGCATGTTTTGGCACTGGTTTTGATTATGACAAATTCTTCTTACACAATAAATTTCAGTTCACTGGCACACACAATTTTCTTAACCGTGGCACAGCTCAATAATATTCTGTCCACAATGTGTCATTCCGTTCACAAGAATCAAATATTGCTCCTTCTCTTGAAAACAGCATTGTATTTTTTAAGTTTCCATAATGATAGACTCCCATACACTGTCAGGGTGATACACTAAACTCAGAATATTCAAGAATGAATTATTGCTGAATGGCAAAACATATTCTGAATTATTTTTTAGATTTTAGAGAATAGCACAGCCAATTGTAATTTCCCCTGGTTTCCTTACACAAACAACAAAAAAGTCCATAACCACAATTTGTGTCTGTTATAAAAGTATAACTCTTTAGTTGATGGGCAGGAATGGGTTAAGTTGCCAAAACATTGCCAAAATCCACATAATACATGAATATATACAAACAAATTCATATAGACACTCGCATATCCTTATATTTATATACATACACACACACAGACAAGCTCATACACACACATGCACATTCAGACAGACACATTTATTTATTTGGGGT